TTGTTTTTCAATACCAAATCAAGTCAAACCAAATTATTAATTGAGTTTTTTTTTCCGATCTACATTTTTATTCAATTTTGTACGCCTCTAATATCTACCTACAATTAGGGTGTTCACGAAAACTCAAACTAAATCGACAAGAATCAAAACGAAGAGGAAACTGTTAAAAAATTGAATTTAAGCAAAAAGTAATTGGAATAATTGAATCATCTGACTCTTAAAATTAAATATTAAAAATTTATAAAAAAAATATTATTAATTATAATTTTCCTTGCATGAGAACAAAAGAATATATTCTAAAATGGTATTCCTAACTCACTTTGTTTGACTCCGTAAAAGAAAAGTTTACTCCATTTGTTACAATTCATGTAGAAGTATTTTAATGAGCACTAGGTTTATAAATTTATAAAAGAAAGAGTTTTAAATTTGTGAAGAATCATGGTATTTTTATACTATAAAATGATGGTACAAAATAAAAGTTGAAATTGTGTATCGATATAAAGATCTAATTAAAGAAGAAGGAATATTGTATAAGATAAAAAGAAATGGCTTTCTCTCCATTTTATAGATCTAATTAAAGAAGAAGGAATATTGTATGAGATAAAAAGATATAATTGTTAAAACAATTCGTATCATAGTGAATGTCTAATTATGTGGAGTTCTTTGTAGGATATTGTTAGGAATCCCACTTGGGAACCAAGTAAGGTTTTCTCTATAAATAAAGGGTTTTCCTTCATTGTAAATAAGATTTGAGGAAGATCAATGAATCCTGAATATACTTCAAGATGAATAAGAAATCTTTCTCTTCTCCCTACTTTATTCGTCTTCTAATTTCATATAGTTTCATAACACGTTATCAGGACGATTGTTCTATTCTTAAAGAATGATGAAGAAGACGGGAAAAGTGCAAAAGAGATCTTGCATAAGTTACGCAATAAGGTTCTTATATCTTCAAGGTATGATTTATTTTTATATTATATCTTTATGTTATAATTATTTGTATAACAGATCTGGAGGTACCATCTAAAGTAAGTATTTAAAGAAACTTGTTAACTTTCTATAAGTTTTATTTTAATAGACTGGGAAGAGAATTCCTTAATAAATAAGCACAATTTAGTGAAAAGTATGTTTTCAACCTTTATATGAGATATGCGATCTATTAAGCTATATTTATTAACTACTAATGTTGATTATAATAAATTAATAATCTCAATTTTGTGTGTAATTATAATGTACGATCATATTAATGATCATCAAAAGTGATAAAATTACACTTATTTTGAAGGCTTGAGATTGAGCCTTATTATGGGTAAGACGATAGATTTAAGTTTTATCGCACCAAAAGAATAAGACAATGTATTTATGTCCAATAGCAAAAAGAGGGTAAGACATTGGGTCAAAGTCCTGATGCACCATGATGATAAGATATTGAGTTCAAGATCCATCGATTTATGACCTAAGACACTTTTATATGGATAAGACATTGAATGTGAGTCTCAGTGCACCATATTGATGATATAATAATGACTAAAGAAAAAACTGATGTATTTTTGATGAGAAGTCATGAAATTTACTAAATTTGCTCCATTACGCAAAGTGAATGTGGTTGTACTGCATAATATGTCTGAAAGAAGACAAGTGATTGAATAAATATAAATTCATTCTCTAAAGGGAATGAGGTGTAAGCCACCATGCTAGGCATGAGAAAGATTGCGACCTTTGGTTAACGATGTGGTATTATCAAAAATGTCTCTAAAAAGACATGTATTATAGAAACGTTTTATGCTTTATCTTCATGCTTGTATTAGACAAGAATTAGTTCAATTGAGGCACATTCTATGATAAATAAGAAGTTTTCTAATTTCAATACTTTCTTAATTTGACATTATTGTCTGAGACATCATTAGTCTATAATATTTAGATGAATTATGGAAAATACATCTATTGAAGAACCTAAAAATTCTTTTAAATGGTTAGTTTTCTTGTAATGATTATTAGCAAGACAAGCTAATTGTGAGACCATCATAAACGAAAGTTGAGATTGAATTCTCTGCGTTTCTAGGAACGTATACAAATATTTGTGAACCTAGTCATCCACTTAGTGGATTGTTTAGATATTTAATAGTCCTAATAAATGTTTCTTCTATATGGTCTTATGTGTGCCTATTATTATCTCGCAACTTGATGTTTGCAAAAATGTTGGCACAAATAATACGTTACATGCACCATTTTCTTCAGATTAGTTCATTCAATGATGGAATCACGACTCACTTAAAGGGTGAAGTAATTGAAAGTTACTCATATAATAGTAAGAAATTTACTAAAGCAAAAGGCACATGACGTAGCAAACTTGGAGTTTACGAGTACTAATAATTTTATTGGCATGAATAATTTGGTCATCCCAAATATATGCATATGGACATAAATTGAAAAACTAGAAGATTCTTCAAGAATTCTTTACGTTGCTTGTTCTCATGATAAAGTTGATTGGATCAACTAAAGTTGAGACTAAATCCCTAAATTCTGAAAAGTATAAAAGGTGAATATGACTCATTCACCTATCATGTGATATGATTAAAAGATGCATCTACAAGATAATCACATGTGCGTTTGTTGTCAACATGTAGTTTGACATTCACAAAATTGTTTGTGCAAAAATAATTGAGTTAAGAGAACAATTTCAGAATATGTAATCAAGACAATTTATCTTGATAATATTGATAAATACTCAAGATGATGTGACACTAAATGTCTCAAATAGTAAAATCATTGTTTGTGAAAATAAAGTTTCATATGTTGATATGAAATACGATATTGCATACAAAAGTAATTGCACGCATCTGACCGATAAATTATGATCAAATTTTCTTTCAATTGAATTATGGTCGAGGACCAAATATTTTTCATCTGATTATTTTGATATGTGGTATACTATCAATGAATATACATTGATGCACAAGGATAGATTCTCCAAAGATTGAGATATATGTTAGTTTGTCTAACATAAAGGGGATATTAGAAGCAACACAAGAGTTGTAAATACTCTTATTGAATGTCCCTTAAGGATAGAGTCTACGACATGCATGAAGCATGATAGACTAATCAATTCTAAATAAAATAATCCTTGAAAAAGGGGTAGGATCAACGAATCAAAAGGATCATAATAAGAAGATAATGTGCTCTTGGGGAGCCTATGACATAACACTTTATGAAACCTCATGAGAGGGGTAGCTACCTAAAAATAATGAAGTGATGAGATCTCAATAAGTTATGTCATATTATGAATCAATGAAAAATGATATATCGTTGACGACATCTTTGATACAATAGCACGCAATATTGTAAAAGATTATGAGGGTATGAATTCTACATCTATTAAAGCATGCTTGTGTAGAAATAATTATCAAGTGAAAAGTGGAATGGTGCATCTTGGTAAGCATAAAGCTTATTTGACTTGCAATCGAGGCACTAGAAGATGTCATACATCTAATATTGAATGTTGTCACTTGACAAAACTAATATGAAAATATCCAATGGTTTCAAAATCTAGAACATACAAGATTTTGAAAAACTTGTTTATCATCCTCATAAGGATTAAATAGATTCAAAATGCATAGAGCATATACAAGTATTATTATGCAAGTTAATGACTAGAATTGAAACTCTTGGCAATAGATTATTTGCTTAAAGAAGTTGAAGTAAGGAACTTGGAGACATCTTTTACCCTGAAAGGAAGATTCATAAAAGGAGATAGAAGAAAACATATTTCGTCAAGGTTTTTCTACACTCATGGGCTCCCAAGAATGGTGATATCAACATGCAAGAGGTCTGTTCAAGTAATATTATTGTTGATTTATTCACCAAGTCTCTATCAACTACAACTTTCAAGAAGATGGTGCACAAGCTTGAAAAACGAAGATTCTAGTCTCTGAATTGATGTTGTCATTAGAGAGAGTTAATACGCGAAGTACTCTTTTTCCCTCACAAGGTTTTGTTCCACTGACTTTTCCTTGTAATGTTTTTAATAAGGCATCCATAATGCGTATTATTAGATATGTGTACTATTTTTCCTTCACTAGATTTTTTTCTCACTGATTTTATCTAGTATGGTTTTAACGAGTCACATAATCTAACGACATTCAAGGGAGTGTTATAGACAATTATAATTATAGTGAATAATTATGTAGAGTCCTTGTAGGATATGGTTAGGAATCCTACTTGGGGACCAAGTAAGGTTTTCTCTATAAATAAAGGATTTTCCTTCATTGTAAATAAAATTTGAGGAAGATCAATGAATCCTGAATATACTTCAACATGAAAAAGAAATCTTTCTCTTCTCCCTGCTTTATTCGTCTTCTAATTTCATATAGTTTCATAACAATAATTACTTTTATTTTTCAAATTTTACCCATAAAATTAATTATTTTTAAAAACATAAATATTGTAAAGTTCCAAGAATGTTTTCTCATTGTTAATTTTGATATTGATGGATAAACTCATAAAATAGAGTGTATTAGAAAATATAAAGATTAAATTAATAAAAATACTTTTTTTATTTATGATTTCTTAAAAAATGTACGATAAAGTAGTAGACAAATAATATAAAGCGAAAGGAATAGTAAATATCATAAAATAATATAATTATATTATTTGATACCTCCAATATATCATTCAGCATAAAAATTGCAAATTCATAAATACAACATTTGTTTTTCTTCATTTGGCCATAATTTTGGAAAAGATGGAATATGGTACTATGATTATGCTTTATTAACAAGTTGTAGAAAAGAATAAAAGGAAAATGAAGAATAAGCTTGGGATATTACTATAACCATATTCATCAAAGTGTTCTTTGAGAATAAAAGTCAATGCTACTGAATATTCTTTAATAAATACATCTAAAGGTACATGTTGCCTTTTTTTTTTATATATGTGGCCACTTGTTAGTTAGTAATTAGAGTTTTTTATAGAGAAAAAGAAAAGAAAAGCAAAAAGAAATTCTACTCCTGTGATTGAGACCTGTTGGTAAAAAGAAAAAACTTAATCTGAGCAACAATGAGAGCTCAATGGAGCATCTCCGATATTTTGTATATTCAAGAAGAAGAATTACATTGAGTAAGTCACAGTATTTATAACTCTCTTTCTGTGACTCATAACTGCTCTTCCTAAGAAATTTCATGATAGGTAGTTACAACTAATCATAATGGAATGACTAATCTACCCTTTCACTTTTAACAGTCTAACTGATATTAACTAATTTATAACTGCTAGTAACTCATCATCACATCACATCACTCCCCTTCAAGCTGGGAGGGACAAATATGTTTAACACTCCAAGCTTGGATAGAAGATGATCATGTTGTAATCTGATCAACCCTTTGGTTAAGATATCAGCAGGCTACTCATTAGTTGGAATATAATCCACCTTGATCAATCCCTTTTGCAATTTCTCTCTTATGAACTGACAGTCAATCTTAACATGTTTTGTTCTTTCATGATATACCAGATTTGATGCAATTTGTATTGCAACCTTACTATCACTATATATATGACTTGGCAGTTGAACCTCAACCCTACTTCTTTAAGCATGCCAAGTAGACACACCAATTCTGAGACTCTGGAAGCTAAACTTCTGTACTCTGCTTCAACGGAACTTCTTGAAACTGTTGTTTGTTTCTTAGCCTTCCAAGACACTAGTGATTTACCAATCTTGACCATGTATCCTGTAACAGATTTTCTAGTGATTGAGCATGAGGCCCAGGCATCATCACAATATGCAGAGACTAGCTCATTTGAGTCACTTGATAACAGTAAACCTTGTCTTGGTTGTCTCTTTAGATACTTAATCACCCTCAGTGCTGCATCTATGTGAGATTTCTTTGGTTGATGTAGAAATTGACTTAGAGTTTGAGTGCTGAATGATATGTCTGGTCTGGTCATATTCAAGTACAACAGTTTGCCTATAAGCTTTTGATACATGGTCTGATCAACCAAAGGATCCTCCAACACTTCTTGTTGATTGCTTAGATGATCATCATACAGTTTGGGAGTTAGCTTAACATTGATGCCAATAGGGGTTCCTGCAGGTCTGGTTGTTGTCATGCCAACCTTAGAAATAAGCTCAAGAATATACTTCCTTTGATGCATTAATATACCTTTAGCTGATCTGACAAGCTCAATGCCTAAGAAATACTTTAACTCCCCTAAATCCTTCATCTTGAATGATAGTTGCAATCCTTTTTTAGTCTGCTTTATAAACTTCAAACTGCTTCCAGTTACTAGCATATCATCAACATAAACCAATATTATAATGATTCCTTTTTCTGACTTGTTAATGAACAAAGTATGATCATATTAACTTTGTTTGAAACTGAAACTAAGAAGAGTCTCAGTAAGTTTGTGATTCCACTGCCTTGGATCATGTTTGAGTCCATATAGAGACTTTGTCAGTCTACATACTTTCTCCCCTTGACTAACAAACCCTTGGGGGAGCTGCATATAGATTTCATCCTCCAAATCGCCTTGTAAAAATGCATTAAACACATCCATTTGATGGATATGCCATTATCTAGAAGCAGCCAAAGAGACAATGGTCCTTACTGTCACCATTTTAACCACAACTGAGAAAGTCTCTTTATAGTCTATTCCTTCTTGTTGGTTGTATCCCTTTGCAACTAGTCTTGCTTTGAACCTCTCTATTTCACCAGTAGATTTATACTTAACTTTATATATCCACCTACACTAGATTGATTTCTTTCCTGGTGTTAAGTCAGTAATTTCCCATGTATCATTACTTTCTAAGGCCTAAATTTCGTTTTGCGTAGCATCAACCCAACTTTGATCCTTGATAGCTTCTGAATAACTAGTAGACTCCTTACATTGTGTAGTAGCAGCTATATAGCACTGATATCTAGGTGACAAATGAAAATAACTCAAATAATTACATAAAGGATACTTCACTTCCTCATGACCTTTCATAGATACAAAATCCTTTAACCATATTGGAGTTTGTCTAGGCCTTGTTGACCTCCTGTTGGTGGATACAATCAGTCTCAGTAGTATTGGGAACCATTTCAGTAGCACTTGTGTCAACAACAGTAACAGGTACACAAGTACTATATTTTGTACTGTCAACCACATCATCTACAGTCATATATGGAACCTCAGGCTATGGAACAACACGTTGCTGGGAAGCTTCATCTGATGATGAACTACAAGGAGGTATTGAAGCTAGATCAAAGTGAGGAAATATAACACCTGTATCCTGCAAGGGATCTATAAATATAGGTTGATGTACATGTTTCTCAATTTAAGAATATGGGAATATTTCTTCTCTAAACATCTCTACTTGTAAAAAAGGATTTGCTGCTTAAATCTAGCAGTATATACCCATCTTGTACTTCTGAATATCCCATATGCATATCCATTCTTGATCTCGCCATCAATTTGTCATGGACAGATAGATCTTTGGCAAAGCATAAACAACCAAGTGTCCTCAAATGACTTAATACAGGTGGAGTACCATACAATCTCTCATAGGGAGTTTGAAAATTAATGACACTGCCTAGAAGTCTGTTAATAACATAAGTTGCAGCTAAGACACAGTGTCCCCTATATCTTAAAGGAACTTGTTCTTGAAACCTCATAGCTCTGGTTACTTCAAGTATGTGTGTATGTTTCCTCTCATCTGCTCCATTTTGCTGAGGGGTATATGGACAAGTTTTCTGATGTACGATTCCCATATCTTGGAACAACTGATCACAAATAGAATTGACAAACTCTGTGCCATTGTTAGTCCTTATTATTTTCACCACCTTACCAAATTGAGTCTTGACATATTGTAAGAATACTTGTAATGAAACACAAATATCAGACTTGAGTTTAAGTAAGAATAGCCAAGTCATTCTGGAAAAGTCATCAATAATAGTGAGAAAGTATTTATTACCATCACAAGTAGGAGTATTGTAAGGACCCCATAGGTCAATATAAATCAAGTAAAAACAACATTTACACTTGATACTACTAGTAGGAAAAACTACTCTTGTTTGTTTAGCATATAGACAGACTAAACACTTAGAAATTTTACACAAACTCTGCTTATTCATATCAAATATTCTAGCAAGAACTGTTGATGAAACATGCCCTAATCTCTTATGCCATAATTCCATATCTGAATCATGATAAGTTGAGCTTGAATCGGTAGCTACAAGTGCAGACTTTAATGCAGACTCTTTCCTTTTATCAGCTAACTGATGCAACAACAAGTATAATCCTCCAGCCTCTCTACCAACCTCCTTCACCTTCCACTGTAAAGTTCCTGGAATACACAGAAATGAGGGGAAAAGGTGACTGAACAACCTAATTCCTTTGTGATCTTGCTGAAAGACATTAAATTATATTTGAATTCTGGAAGATGAAACACATCTGTAAGCACATTTCTAGTAGATAATGCACATGATCCAACATGACTAACTTGAGTAGCATCACCATTTGGATGATATATTGTCTTAGGAACCTCAAGTTTTGATACAGACTCTTTAATCAACATATCCAAATTAGACACCATGTGATTTTCAGAGACAAAAAACACATTACCTGCTGAATGAGTAGCATTGCAGGTTGCTCCAGCAGATTCTGATCTTTGTTGAAACATGTGAAGTATGTGATCATACTGATCTTTTGTGAAAGTACAACCCTGAAGAAGTTGTTGAACGTCCTTCTCAGCTTGGTTTGTTCTATTAGGGGTATTTACAGCTAAATTAGCATTCATGTTAGCTGTATATGATTCACCCTTTGTGCCTTTACCTGGTATATGAACATTAGTGTTCATACCATATGAGAAATTTGCTTGAGTGTGACCAGCATCAACTATTGCCTGACCAGAATTAACATCTTGAGACTTTCTTTTGGATTTAAAGTTAGGAGGATATCCTACCACCTTGTAACAAAACTCCTTACTATTTTCTTTGCATTTGCAGAACTCACACACTAGCATAAAATTATTTTTAAACCTCTGATTCACCCCAGAACTACTACCAACCTTGGAGTACATAGCCATTGAATCCTCATTAATAAAACTCATGCCCATACTACTAGTGTTGGTGGTGTGATTAACCATAGACTTTTGACTCTCATCCCCAACTATCACTCCATAAGCATGATTTATAGTTGGTAATCCATGAGAAGAATCTGACTTCTAGCCTGATGGTATGAGTCATTTAATCCCATTAAAAACTGATACAACTTCTGCTTATTTAGATGAATCACAAAACCTTTGGATATGTCACAACTATAAGAATGAGAAGGTACTATTGCCTCAAACTCATCCCATAGGTTTTTAAGCCTTGTATAATAGACAGAAACAGACATATTTCCCTGCTGTAATAAAGAAATGTCTTTGTGTAAACAGTAGGATCTAGATCCATCCACTCTGTCAAACCTTTCCTTTAAATCAGTCCAAACATCAAAAGCAGTAGTAGCAAAAGCTATGCCACTCAACAAACTTTTTGAAACTGAATTCATAAGCCATTACACTACAATGGCATTCACTATCTCCCATTGTCCCCATAATTCCTCTCCATAGACCTCTTTCCTGGAAGATCCATCGATTAAGCCTATTTTATTCCTCCCTAAAAGAGCTAGCCTAATAGATTGAATCCACAGAGTATAATTTTCAACTCCTACTAGCTGAAATGAGATAATGCTAATACCACTCATATCAGTAGGACTGAGAAATAGAGTATGATTATAGTCGATACCTTATCCTGTTCCAGTGTTACCTGAAACAGTATTGCCATGTAAGGAACTAATAGCTCTTTGGCCATTGTTCTGATCCTCAGCTACTTGATCATTTGCCATACGAGATCCTTGAAAAAAAGTTATTGTTGTGGAAGCAAAAAACAGAGCAAAATTAGCAATTAGTCACCACAGAATCCAGCTTCAAGCTCAGATTTGTAATAAATTCAGATGAATCAGGAATTGATTATTTGATCATTTGCACACACATTTTCAACAGTAAACACTGTGAAGGAAAAACTCTGATACCATGTTGGTGAAAAGAAAAAACTCAATCTGAACAACAATGAGAGCTCAATTTAGCATCTCTGATATTTTGTATATTCAAGAAGAAGAATGACATTGAGTAAGTCACAATATTTATAACTCTCTTACTGTGACTTATAACTGCTCTTCCTAACAAATGTCATGATAGGTAGTTACAACTAATCATAATGAAATGACTAATCTACCCTTTCACTTTTAACAGTCTAACTAATATTAACTAACTTCTAACTGCTAGTACTCATCTTCACATCACATCAAGACCAAGGCACATAGTCTATATTACATTTTAGGGCGTCTTTGATCATAAGATCATTAAAGCAATTATTCGGGATTTCAAATTTTAAGTAGCTCCAATATATATATATATATATGTATATATATGTGTGTGTGTGTGTGTGTGTGTGTGTGTGTGTGTGTGTGTATATATATATATACACACACACACATATATATATATATATATGTATATGTATAAAGGAAAAATGTACAAGTACCCCCTCAACCTATGCCCGAAATCTCAGAGACACACTTATACTATACTAAGGTCCTATTACCCCCTAAACTTATTTTATAAGTAATTTTCTACTCCTTTTCGGCCTACGTGGCACTAGCCTGAAAAAAAAAGTCAACCAACATTGTGCCCACAAGATAGTGACACGTAGGCCAAAAAGTGGTAGAAAATTATTAATAAAATAAGTTCCAAATGGGGTACTAGGACCTTAGTATAGCACAAGTGTGTCTCTGAGATTTCGAACATAGGTTGAGGGGGTACTTGTGCATTATCCCTATATATAAATGATAAGTTTAAAAGAAAAAATTGGATAGAAAATATAACAGTAATTGTTTACTTTATTTAATGTGGTGGTCATTGTAATAATTAAGAAATAGAATTGTGTTTAGTTATTAATAATATCCTTTCTTACATGACTATTTATTTTGTATTTATTTGTATTTTGATGATTGTCATGAATTTACATTATTATTCTTACATGCATAATGCATTTATCTCTTTTATTTCTCTTTCTATTTTTATTCGCTCATTATTGAATATCTAAAGTCTATCAAATAGTAAAATCTTTTGTAGTATGCAAAATATATTATTGTGTGTTTATAAAATGATCAAATTTATTTTTGGAGTATTCTTTATACTTCAACACAAATCAATACTATTCCAATACTAGTTTATCAAATTCAACATAATTATTTCAATGTCATTATATAAACTTTTTAAAGTTTTGAATCAGGTTTGATTATTCTAACTTTATATCATATTTTTCATTGAAAATTTTCATTGTTTACATTCTTACTTCATAAAATCTACATATATTTTATCTTCTCGAGAACTTCACTTGTACGATTGCATTGAGTATGTTATAGCTATTCATTTAATATATGACAACTATAAAAATATAATATATTCATATATTATATTTTTCGATGAAAATTTTCATTGTTTGCATTCTTACTTTATAAAGTCTACATATATTCTATCTTTCGAGAACTTCACTCGTACAATTGCATTGATTATGTTATAGCTATATATTTTATATATGACAATTATAAAAATAAATAACAATCAAGTCTCGCTATGAAATTTGACTTTAAGCCTTCAAACCCGACCCTATTGCATTCGAAGATCAAATACAATATATAGTGACTAAATACATAATTTTTACTAGATAATTATAAATAGTCTTTTCCAAACGACATCTTTATTTTTAAAGAACTTATGAAATGCACAATATTCTCTTTTTAAAAAAGAAGTAGGTACTAGGTACTTGCTTCTGAAAAGATATACGAAAAAGTGAAGAAAGAAGACGAATAATTAAAATGAGTCCATGCCAACAAGCTTATATATGAATAAGTGCTATGAGAATAAGGATATTTGTGAAATAAACGCATAAACCATACAAAATAGAGGAGGTAAAAGAGGATGATCTTAATGATTCAATTAGTTGTTTAATTTGTCTGAACTTTTATTTTATTGGTAAGAATTTATGAACTAAATTTCAGACGGTGATGACACCTAAACCCTTAGACAAAGGGTTTAAAAAAAATAGAAATTGTGTAATTTGGATATTCAAATTAAAAGTTAGGTCTTTAAATAGATTTTTCATAAAAATTAAAGTAAGATACAAATTAAGCGTGGAACAATAATAAACACCCTGAAATGTGGTGACATATGCACACGCCACTAAAAATCTCAATGTATGAGAATCGAGAACAAAGTATTATACTAAGTATGAGAAAATCACCACCATGTAAGATGAGTCTGCTCTAATATCATGTTAAAGTGAGTGACTATCTCATTCAAAAGTTAAAGTTATTAGAGAGACACACTTTTATTAGTTAATTATATTCTCAACATGCCCCCTCACATGCGGGTCTGATTCTTTTCATGAGCTAAGCACGTGAAAATTCTTTTTAATATGGGCATGGGTAGTAGTGAGATTTAATCTCAGGACCTCTGTTTGCTCTGATACCATGTAAAATTAGGTCATCGTCTAACTCACACCCCAAAAGTTAACTCATGAAGGGAGATTTGTTTGATCTCATATAACGAGACCTACTTCATATCTACCGATGTCGAATATCTTAACTCTCGTCTACACACTTAGACTTCAACTGGAGCGTCTAAATAGGATCCACCAACAGTGAACAACAAATTGAGATATGTCTGGCTCTCAAGCATTTCATGTTTCATAAAAAAAAACAAGGCTTAATCCTCAATATCAAACAATAAAAATCTAACAATTGATCATTTAGCACTCCTTTAATTTTTTCCATTTATGATTGTGTTCAACCATATATTAGTGAAAAACATATTATGATTGACCAAAGTTTCATTTGTGCTCAACCATATATTAGTGAAAAACATGGTATAATTGACATGTGTTTTCCTGAATATTGTGTATTCTTGCAAAAATAATATAAAGTATTGTGAAGAATATTGAGCAAAAGAATAAGACATCTCATGAAACTTTTACAATAAAGTGTAGTCGTTATATTCCTTAGTAGACCTATATATATATATATATATATATAATATATATATATATATATATATATATATATATATATATATATATATATATATATATATATAAGGGATTGCTAGCTCTTGTTGCTTCAAACAAGGAAGTATATATGTGTCTTTTTGTGTGTTTGAATAAGTGATATTCATGGCAGAGAATGAATGGTTAAATGGGTATTTGGAGGCCATATTGGATGTAGGAAGTGAAAGAAATGGGTCAAGACAAAAGAAACCAATTAGTAGCAACAACTTCAAGCATAATAATATGGAGGAAATTTTGAGGTTAGAAATCCACAAAGAGAAGTTGTTTAGTCCAACAAAGTACTTTGTTGAAGAAGTTGTCAATAGCTTTGATGAGTCTGACCTCCACAGAACTTGGATCAAGGTCACTTCACAAATTTTTTACTTTAATCTCTTATTTATTGTTACTTTCCTTCATAATTTGACCAAGTTTAACCTTTGCTTCTCTCTTTATTCATTTGGTACACCACAAATGCCAACGAGCAATATTACTTGTCGAGACGTTTGGTAAAATAATTCATGCATTAACTCTATATATTAGTAGTATCTTGTTTAATATATTTTTTTCATGCTATATTAGTTATATATTATATTTTGTATACTGAGGAGTGTATTACTAATTAATACTATAGATTTCTACGTGTACAAATGGATTTAATACATGCATTAGGTGGTTAAAGACTCAATCACCCCTCAAAACCTCTTTTAATTTCCACCATAATTGTGGAAGATATTTTTATGGAAAACATATTATTTTTACTAGACAAAATCTGAAAAAACATAAGAAATAACCTAGATTAAGTGCCCGTTTGGTTTGGCTTATTTTAGGTGTTTTTAAGCCAAAATTTTTTAAAATAATTTTGAAGTGTTTGAGTAAAGTTAAAAAAATACTCATGAGCACTTATTTTAAAGCCAAAATAATAAAAATAAGCCAAAAATCA